CTCCATCCCTTGAGCCTGCACCCCCTGACTGAGCGGAAGTAGGAGGAATTGCAGACGGGCTCTCAGCAGAGCACAGTTTAGATGGCTTAGAGTTTCCCTGAGTGTGCTCAGGCTCACACCCCAGAGGGGCAGGTGTGGGACCAGCGGTCTGCTCTATAGCCACACCACACATGGCTCGTTTGCACCTCATGCCTACAGAGCTAGCCAGCAGAGACTTTGACTTTGCAGAGGGATCTTAATTCAGCCCCAAACTTGGCTTTTCTAAAGACAACATACATTTTACAGAGGACCTTTTGTATGGAGTTACTGGGGTCTCATTCAAGAATAACAGAAGTCCCAGTCTGCAGAATTTTAAAAAAAGAAATTTTTTTTTTTTGGTCATTCCAGACACAGCTCCAGTCTTCCACCTCCCACTAGTAAGCCCATTTATATCAAAATGAGTGAGAAATTTAATCCCTGGTACTTTATAAATAAGCCATTTTCCCCCCTTCCTTTGTGGTTTACTCTCTATGTGCTTTTTTAATGGCAGCGTTTAATAATGTTTATATTGCCTTTAACCTTTGACTAATTTTGCAGTTAGATTCCAAAATCTGGTTTCACATCCAGTGTGTGTAGGCTGCTGTTGCTTCCTTTGAGACTACTGACTTCTTATTTCTGGAAGGTATTTCATTCCCTTACCAAGCATCTTAATCACTTCTGCTGGGTAAAAAGGGTGTCCATGGGGTGGGTAGTAGGCAATAGTAGTAGTAGTGTTAGCTCTGTAGTCTGATAGGCGGGCTAAGTCACTTCAGTTGTGTCTGACTTTTTGCAACACTATACACTGTGGCCTGCCAGGCTCCTCTGTCCATGGGATTCTCCAGGCAGGAATACTGGAGTGGGTTGCCTTGCTCTCCTCCAGGGGATCTTCCTCCCACAGAGATTGAACCCGTGTCTCTTATGTCTCCTGCATTGGCAGGCAGGTTCTTTACCACCAGCACCACCTGGGAAGCCCTCTTTCTTATACTCTGCTGAAATCAGTCTTCCTGGAATTTTCAATCTGATAGAAAGAAGATCAGAATGTACCTGTCTTTGTCTCTTACTATCTTCCTTTCCGCCCTCTCCCCTTCCTCTTCCCTTTCTAATAAATGTTTTCAGAATGGTTTTAGATTTATAGAAAAATTGCCAAGATAATACAGAGAATTTCTATATACCCCTCACTTTACAGTATTGTGTATCCACAACCATTCATCAAAATTAAGAAACCAACATTGGTACATTACTCTTAATTATCAACTCCAGACTTTGGTCTGATTTCACTGGTTTTTCTCTAATGTCCCTTTTCTGTTCCAGGATCCCATCCAGGACATCATGTTACATTTAGTCATTATGTTTCCTTTGTTTCATGTAGTGTGTGATAGTTTTTCTTTTTGTTCTAATTTTTCATGACCTTGACAGTTTTGGGGGAGTACTGGTCAGACATTTCGTAGAATGTCCCTCAGCATCTATCTGATGTTTTTGTTATGGGTTTATGGGTTTGGGAGAAGAAGACTGCAAAAATGAAGTGCTGTTCTTATCACATCATGTTAGGGACACATGATATCACTATGACATCACTGGTGACATTAACCTCGATCCTCTAGGATAAAGTCGCTCCTCCCTCCCTTTTCCATACATAGTTTTTTAGAAGCAAGTCCCTATGTTCAGCCCATACTTAAGAGGTAGGGCAATTAAATTCTACCTCCTGGAGGAGAAGTATCCTATATAGATAAGTAATCTGGAATTATTTTGTTAAGGAAGGTTTGTGTCTTCTCCTGCATTTATTAATGTAGTCATTTATTCATATCAGTTTGGAGTGATGCATATTTACTTTATACTTTGGGTTATAATCCATTACTACTTTAACTGTTCTCTTGCTCAACTTGTTCAATCTTTGGCCACTGGGCGGGCTTCCAGTTGGCTCTGTGTCCTCTTCATGTGTCCCCATTTGTGTGTTTTCTAAGGATTTCCTTACTTTGTGGCACCATAAGATATTCCAGGTTCTTCTTGTATTTCTCCTGCGCCAGCCCTAGAATCAGCCGTTTCTCCAAGGATCTCTGGTTCCTATAATTGGAGAGTGATATTAGAAACTAAGATCTGACCACTTGGGGTGCCCATTGCTACTGGGGTGTCACTACTTCCATATCTTCTCAGTAGACAGAGTTAAATACACGAGTGTATATCAGCCCATGTTACACATGTATGTGCAATATTTCTGCATTTACATTTCTTCCTATAGTAAAGCTTTTCTATTTTGAGTATTTATATTTTGCTGTGTAGCAAACAATGAGAATGTGATTCACTCTGTTCTACCATCACTGGTAATTTTTTTAAAAGGAGTGAGAAGAAAGTAGAAATGGAAATCTTAGCATAACTATGACTTAAGAACTCAGTTATCCTCCAGACAGATCATATCATTTTCGAGATAAAGACTTCCTAAGAAGTTTACTGAGGTCCAAAGAATAAGAAACTAGTTAGTGGAATAGTCAGAAGTGGATTCTGGATTTTTGAAGTGAAATCTCTTTATTTCCACCATATCTAATGCCTCTGTAAGACTGATTAGTATTCTTGGCTTTGTTTTCAACTTCGTTATTAACTACTTGGAATACATTAATAAGCACTTTAGAGTTGGTGTGCACAAGTATGACCAAGGCAATCTGAAGTCCACCACCGGGTCACTGAGGAGGGATTTTGCTCTCCAGTGATAGGTGTGTGTGTATGTGTGTGTGTGTGTGTGTGCGTGCGTGCGTGCATGTGCATGTGTGTATTCAGTTGCTCAGTCATGTCCAACTCTTTGTGACTCCGTGGACTGTAGCCCACCAGGCTCCTCTGTCCATGGGATTTCCCAGGCAAGAATACTGGAGTGGGTTGCCATTTCCTCCTTCAGGGTATCTTCCCAACCCAGGGATCAGACCCACCTCTTCTGTGTCTCCTGCCTTGCAGGCGGATTCTTTACCACTGAGCCACAGGGGCATATCTTAGATCAACAACTCGAAAATGATGCTATGATGGCTGGATGTTAGTGAGTGAATCTTCAAATCATTATGATGATTACCCTGCCCCATTTTACTTTTTATAACTATCTCCAAAAAAGTCTTTTTTGCTCTGGGAAGAGAATCACAGGGCTCCTACCGGACAGATACTTGATGTGTACACCTGCTTTTTAGAAGTGGGACATAAAGTGATAAAGGACTCTGCTTAATGACATCCAGGAGTTGGTGATAGGGTAAAAAGTAAAAAACGAGAACTGTGGCCCCCACAGCCCCTCTTAACACACAGCTCCTTTCTTTTAAATTGCTTTTGACAGCATGTAAAGCAAAGAACAAACACTTGAAAGTTCCTCTTAAGAGACTGCCAAGGCTATAGGACAGTCCTAGGATGCCTTCAAACCTTTCAGCCATGTCCTTTGAGACAGGGGTATGTTTATACTTGGTAAACCGTGTCTTGTTACCATGTAACAGTAAAATCTCCGATCTGTTCTTTTCCAGTTATACTTTTATCCATTTCATTTTGTTTTTGTTTGGTACATTGTGAACATCCAAGATTTTTAGTGGAAATAAAAACAGCTGTTTCTCATATACCAAAGAATTTAATTGTGAACTTTAACCTTGAGATGATATATCCAAATTTTCCCAGGTGTAGGAATGACTTGACTAGAAAAGCTCGTTTTGGGTAGTCATCCCAATAAGAACCAAATTTAACTGCTTACTGTCAACTTCATTAAGAGAGAGAGAGTTTCTATAGGTCTTCAACACTCCCTTCTTAACATGGCTTTTCCTCTTTAAAATAGTGCATATTTAACCTACATAAACAAACACACCCTAAAGTCCCATCTTTCATTCCGGCTTTATTTTTCTCCATAGCTCTTACCAACATTTAATATGCTATATATTTTACTTCTTTAGCTTTTTGTCTGTTTTCCCCCACTAAAATGTAAACTCTATGAGAACAGAGGATTTGTTTTGTTCGCTGCTATATTCCCCAGACCCAGAGTAGTACCTGGAACATAATAGATGCTCAGGGACTGCTTCAAAATGAATCAAAAGTTGCAAGTTCTGACTATTTAGCTCCTGATTTTAATATAAATGCAAATAGTTGAACTTTATTTTACAGGGTTATTTTAGATTATAAGTCAAATTAAATCACCATGTGAGTTGGGGATTTATCTATTCACCAAAAACCTCAGAATCTGTACAAGCAATGTGCACAGTGCCCTGGAAATTATGCAACTCACTCAGTGCCACAATGCTATTATCACTTGGAAGGAATTTTGAAATTCTCTGCTAAATGTCACTCAGGAAATTGAAATATCTAAAAGCACATTTTTTTTTTTTTAAGTTTAAAGGTGAATCAGTTCAGTCGTTCAGTCGTGTCCAATTCTTTGTGACCCCATAGACAGCAGCACGCCAGGCCTCCCTGTCCATCACCATACCTTCAGACTAACCCAAAGATATCCTGAAGTGTCATTACCCACTTTGACCAGATTTAGCAGAAAATGACTTTTCATTGTTATTAAAAAAAATCAATTCTGACTCATATTTGCCAACCTAAAGAATATTAAAAGAATATGCTATAAAATCCAAAGTAATTCCTCTGAGGAATGTCAGCATTCATTTGTGTACATAGGTGCTGGCATGTTTTTATTTTTAATCAGATTACTTTACAGATATTTACATTTTCTAGTGTCTGAAGTCCTTACACTTTTATTTTTAGAATACATGGGCTCTTATTTGTTTAAGCAATATGTAAGATAATACAAAAGGGTATGCACCTTGACCAGCCTTTTGACGAACTAGATCTTTCAAAAACAATAGCTCTAATGCCAAATTTCCTGCAGTATTCTCTCCAGGACAAGAAACAAATAAAAACCCGTCTAGTCAGTGAACATCACAGACTTGCTTGCACTCAATCCTTGGACTGATGTAGTGTATAAACTACACCTTTGTACAGACTGACGTGTGTCCTGTTCCCCCCGTTTATTTCAGAGCATTGGGGAATCGACAATGTCTGTTGTGTTACATCAGCTGCTGCCCATGATTAAGCCTTTGAACCAGAGGAGCAATGATGACTACAGCCCCGAAGAGCTGCTGGTCCTCCTGCTATATATTTATTCCGTCAGTGGAGAGTTCTCAGTGGACAAAGACCTGGGTGAAGGTGAAGAAAAAGTGAAGAAAGCGTTGGCTCAGGTCTTTTGTGAGGAGTCTGAATTGTCACCTTTGCTGCAGAAAATCACAGGTAAGTGTTTAACAAAAATGAGGACATATACATCACTGATACAGAAAACAGGTTTTAAAATAAAGGCATTTTGGGAAGAGGATGTAACTATCTTCATCGGAGTTGTTTAGAATTTCATGAGGCCTGATGAATGCTAGTCAGCTAATCCTAAGATTAAAAGTTTTTAGCGCAGTAATTTTTTTTCCAGTTGTGGTAGTAAAATGGCCTTCTAGTTGCTTTTTTAGAATTCATAGTTTTAGAACCTAAGTCTTGTTAAAACAGCAAAATTCTCACAAGATGTAATATCTTTAAGAAAAAATAAAATACAGTGCATCCTATTCAAAGGGTCTCTGATGACGTATTCTCTTTGAGATTGTCTTTTCAAACTTTAGAAAAAGCAAACCTGTTTCCCTAAGATATTATACAATGTTATAGGATGAAAATTGACATTTTTCAAGAATAGTTTTATATTTTGACTTCCATTTTTCATTTTAAATCTGAGTTAATTGATAGTATCCAAAATAATACCCAAATATACCAGTGAGGTAGGCTGTGCTGATTTGGGGAAAATATGTAATTAAAAGTCATACAATCTAACCGTTTTCACTTCTAATAAGAACTGTGATATAACTTATGGAAGCCCAACTTAAGGAGATAATCAGTTGCATTGTTTCATATCAAATTCAATGTTATTTATATTTTGTGTAAAACTTACTGCCAGTAGTATGGATTGAGCCTGAGTCTGTTTGAGTGTGAGACGTTATTAAAACTTACATGTGAAACTTAAGTACTTTATAAAAACAGACCAAGTTGCCATTCATTCTTGAGTGTATGTGCGTGTGGGTGTGTTTAGACCTCTCCACTGGGGGAGGCTCAGCTAGGTAGGTTACTAGTGTATCTTCCGCCCTTCCCTCCTGTCCCCTGTCTCACCTCCCTGAGTGGGGAGCTTGCTCAGAAGTGAGCTGGGCCGCTGTCCACCTGAGTGTCCTGTCACATGTGCTTTCCCTTCTGCCCCGCTGCTGGCCTTTCCTGTGTCTGGTCATGGAAAATGAAACCCCGATGAGATGGAAACTGAGTGAAGTTCCCATAGAAGTGAAACATTTCCTTGCTCAGTACAGAACCTGCTTGCCAACGTAAAATCTCATAAGCAAAATGTGTGGGAGTTGTTCCCATTTCATTAAGGTACAGTGCTGTATGTGATTCCATGTGTGTGTTTGGTTATAAATGAATATTGACTTAGGCTTCATACAGTTTGTATAAGGCTTAGAACAGTGGTTTGATTCAAAGTTGATTTGAACTCTAGGAGAGTGTAATTGGACGTTATTCTTAACACACATAATTCCAGAAACAGACAACAAGCTTGGTATGTTTTAGTGAGGGTGTTTGGCTAGCTTTTCTGCAGCACTAGTGAGTTACTGTATTATTTTGGGAATTAAGGTCGAGCAGTCAGTGTGTTCATTTGATATTTTCTCAAGGTGTTTATTGACCCAGAATTTCATTCTTTATTAGTTTCTCTGTTTTTGATTGCTCAGGATATTGCATTTTCTTGCTTATAAATGTGATTTCACGATTAAAAACACTTCTGTACATTTGTATTTATATATCAGGAAAACTTGTAAGCTTAGCAGTTGAAGGTGAAAAAAAGAATCTATGAAAGTTTTAGTGTATTTTTAAACTTTCGAGACATCTTTTTTAATTAGTTAATTTATTTTAATTGGAGGCTAATTGCTTTACAATATTGTGGTGGTTCTTGCCATACATTGACATGAATCAGCCATGGGTGTACGTGTGACATCTTGTTTTATAATACAAAGTATACATTCCTACCTAGATTAACTTTGGATGTGCAATTTAAATAGAATGGATAAGATGTGCTATTTGAACTTGATATAAGTTAACTTGCCAGTGGAACATGGATGCGTTGGCCAACCTCTGTGGACACAAAAAGAACTTGCTTTCTGAAGATAGACTTTTACTTGGCCAGTATAGATATGCCTCTTATTAAGTATGTTGAAATGTCACGTGTCCTGAGGAGTAGGGTTTATGTTTATACTTAGCTGCTGAAGAGAATGTCTAACCTACATCTCAAGATAAGGAGTAATAGCATGGTGTTGGGGCAGTAGTGACTCAGTCCTGTATCAGTACAAGGCATGCCCAGTGTGTACTCGAAGAATTGAATTGTCTTCCAGATGTGCTTAGCCTATCATGGAACTAGGTTAGTTTGGCCCACAGTGTTGCACTTAACATTATTCCAACTCTTAGTCTTGACTTACTTGTTACTGGGTGGCAGAAATTATTTTATGTCTTCTGCACATTTTGTGGTTGATGAGATTTAAAAGTATTATTGAAAATAAGCATTTAATCAATATAAGAATTGTTCTTTTCATATAATGTTGTAATTTTGCTAATCTTGACTGTTGATAGAATCAAGGAAGCAATACTTTCTAAAGTAAAGTTCAGTACTAGACTAGAGATGAATCATGTTATCGTCATCCAACTGCTAAGTGATAGAACCAGGACTTGAACCCAGGTGTTCTGAGTCTGGAGCCCATGTCCTTAAACATGAGACCTAAACCTGACACAAGTTCATTTCCATAACCATCGAATATCATATTCTGTAACTTATGCTTGCTTACATTTATTGGTTTATGCCATGCATGCTCATTTTCTGAACAGTGAATTAATATTTGGTTGATATTGTAGATATTACTTGTGATTTTGAATCTATCTGTAAAGATCCTTTCTCTGGGGGATCTTCCCAACCGAGGGTTCAAACCCAGGTCTCCCGCATTGTAGATGGATTCCTTACCAGCTGAGCCACAAGGGAAGCCGAGGAATACTGGAGTGGGCAGCCTATGCCTTCTCCAGCAGCTCTTCCCGACCCAGGAATCGAACCAGGGTCTCCTGCATTGCAGGCAGATTCTTTACCAACGAAGCCACCGGGGCAGCCCCGTAGCTACTTACAGATGTTTTGTTGTTCTGTCCTGTTTTGGTGCATGTATCCTCTTTGTTTCTGCATTGCTATAAAGAAATTAAAATATCTTTTCTAGTCATTGAAATCTGTTGGTTGTCTAGCTTTCTAAAACAGGAGTAGCAAACTTAAATTCTTTTTGTTTCAGTAGTATCTCTTGACAGTAATTGTGCTGTGTTTAAAATTTTTATTTCCTTTTACATGTTAAAAATGTAATTTACTTTTGACAGTTTCTTTCATCTCTATTCTTCCCTTTTATGGAAAGGGCAATGAGAAATTGTGGTTGGAAAAACAAAATTTAAGATGGTCAACGGCAGCTATTATTTTCTTTTTAATAGGTACTCTTGGGGAAAATGGTGGGCAAAAACCCTCTTTTCTACTCACACAAAATAAGAAGGGTTAACTCTTGGGTGTCGGGGATGGGAGCTGTAAAAAGAAAATTGATATGGCCTAAATGTGTCATTTAGTGTTGTGCTTTCTCAGTCTTGCTAAGTTCAAAGAGAATATCGGTTTCTATATATGTTAGTGTTTGCATGGCAGTCACAAGAGAAAACAAAGGAAAACCATTTGAACTTTCTTCAGAGTATGAAATCAAAACACTGACTTTAAAGGTCTGTGCAAACTTGGACTGTCTTCATCCAGGGAGGTGTACAGAAAAGTATAGACTCAGCACAGGAACCCTTGACTCAGAAGTCCTGGCTCTGTCACTTCCTCTCAGTGTGTGTTAGTGGGCAAATCAGTGTCTCTGAACTTTGATAATAAATGCAAGCAACCTATTCACCACTCTTGGTTTTGCTGAGAATAAAACAATGTTATGTGTATGAGCTAATTTTTTAATCCATTTACTATTGTAATAGGTAACTGTTTCCCATTGCTGTAATTATTTTGAAAGTATCTAGCTATCATATCACAGAAGGCAATGGCACCCCATTCCAGTACTCTTGCCTGGAAAATCCCATGGATGGAGGAGCCCGGTAGGCTGCAGTCCCTGAGGTTGATAAGAGTCAGATACGACTGAGAAACTTCACTTTCACTTTTCACTTTCATGCATTGGAGGAAAGTGAAGTAGCTCAGTTGTGTCCGACTCTTTGTGACCCCATGGACTGTAGCCTACTGGGCTCCTCCATCCATGGGATTTTCCAGGCAAGAATACTGGAGTGGGTTGCCATTTCCTTCTCCAGGAGATCTTCCTGATCCAGGGATTGAACCTGGATCTCCTGCATTGTAGGCAGACACTTTACCATCTGAGCCACCAGGGAAGATGCATTGGAGAAGGAAACGGCAACCCACTCCAGTGTTGTTGCCTGGAGAATCCCAGGGACGGGGGAGCCTGGTGGGCTGCCATCTATGGGGTCGCACAGAGTCAGACATGACTGAAGCGACTTAGCAGCAGCAGCAGCTATCATATAGGACAGTGCTTCCCAGCCTTTTCACATTGCGATACATTCCAACAACAAGCATGCTTGCGTAGCCTGCCACGGGGAGTGGACAGTGGACAGTGTGGGAGGAGACCAACGGCAGGGCCTCTATCACTTCCGGCCCTGCCCCACTGACCTGTGACCTGAAGTGAGGGAGCAGCTGGGCACACCTGTGAACTATTCAGGGCAAATCAGTGCACTAAGGTGTGATGGTCAGAAGGCTCTGGAATCAGGAAACGAAGAAAAACAAAACTTGCATATATAGTTTTTGACACCAGAACTCTTGGAAAAAATTTTATTTTTGGTCAGCAACTTTTATATTTATCAATTTATTCTCCTGAATTTTTATATTTCCTGTCTTTAATTTTTCCATGTCTTTAAAGGGGCTAGATCTATTTATTTAGGTTCAGTGTAATGCTAGGGAATGAAAGATTCAAAATATCTAAAAACTGTGCTTCAAGAGAGAAGCGTGACAATACCATGGAAACTGTGATTTATGTTCTTATTTTACTTCCTGTTGATAATTTGGGATTATCAATTTCTATATTCTTGGATTAGGACTATACCTGGTTATATGTGATGGAAAATTTACCAGATTACCTTAAATAATAAATAAAAATAAACAGGCTTTT